GGGGGGGGGGGGCGGGCCCATTGCCTCCCCACGGCCGCCGCCTTGCCCAGCGGTCTCAGTGCAGCGCTGCAGGGAAGCGTCGCGCCTGCTGGGGCGGCTGGTGAGACCCGCTGAGGACCCGCTGTCTGCCAAGGACGGACAGAGCGTGTTGGGGGGAAACCGTGGCAGGGGACATGACGATGCTGCATGCTGCCAGGGGCAGACAGATGTGCTTGTTCGTGCGCAGTCTCTGAGTCCCAGGGTTAAGCAATGAAGTTTTAACCACCCCGAAAGAGCAGAGACCTCAGAACAGCGTGTTTGGGCATTGCTGGCCCGTGAGCAGGGCTAGCAGGAGAGGGAGGGAAGGAGGGAGGCCTGCGGGTGATGGTGGAGGGAGCACATCGTAGGATGAGTGCTGAACCCCACTTGGTCAGAGCCTGAGGTGTGCCAGCCTGCCGCTCTGGGCTTGCTTCTGTACAGCTCTGTCCCTGGAGAGGTATGTCCAGTGGGGACTTCCATGTCCTTATCGACATGGGGTCCCTGCCCTGGCTGAGCCTCGCCTTCCCCTCCGTGCCCCACAGGCTCTCAGGGCTCACCGTTGACTCTGTGTCCCAACCTTTGCAGGTGCTGATGGAGGTCGGTGGTCCCCTGCCGGTGGAGCTGTGGCAGCTCATCCTATCCTACCTGCGCCTCCCTGACCTGGGCCGCTGCAGTTTGGTCTGCAGGGCCTGGTACGAGCTCATCCTCAGCCTGGACAAAACGCGCTGGCGGCAGCTCTGCCTGGGTTGCCTCGAGCACAGGCATCCCAACTGGCCCAACAAGCCCGGTGTGGAGCCGTGGTCCTGGAGAGAGGCCTTCAAACAGCACTACCTGGCCTCCAAAACCTGGACCAAAAACACACAGGACCTGGAGTCCTCCAACTGCTTCTCCCTCTTCCGGAGGAGGAAGGGCCGGCGCCAGCTCTGCGTCGGCGCAGGGGGTGAGTTTGGCAGCCTCCGGGCCGCCCAGGCCGCTGCCAGCCCCTACGACCGCCTTGTGTTGCTGCCTGGCGTGCACGAGGAGCAGGGCGAGGTGCTGCTGAAGGTGCCTGTGGAGGTTGTGGGGCAGGGCAAGCTGGGGGATGTGGCGCTGCTGGCGAGCATCGACCAGCACTGCCCCACTGCCCACCTCTGCAACATGGTCTTCATGCCGGCCCGCTTCACCTCGGTGCTCTACAAGGTGAGGCTCGGCAGAGCGGGAGTGGTGGGGATGGCGAGGCCACTGGGGTGTCACAACCAAGGGGGTTCCCTATTCTGTGGGTATCTGGAGAGCATGACCGGGGGTTTGTGGGACTCCCTAACGCACAGAGGCTCAAGGGCTTTGTCCTCTGAATGTCTCTGCTTCATTACAGATCGTGACAAATGCCACACAAATCGCCACTAGCAAGTCTGCCTTTGATTAATAAAGCAAATATATCAGGCTATTGCAAATTACTACCAGCAATCAATAATACAATATCAATAGTATGGCAGCAGTCAATAATAAAAATAATGGTATAGCAACAACCAATACTATAGCAACAACCAATAACGGCACCAAACAAGTAGGTATATACTATTACAGCTTACTGCAAACGTATCACCAGTACAACAGCAGATATGCTTATGACAGATTACTTACATGGATATACAGTACTGTCCTGGTTTTGTTTAGGATAAAGTTAGTTTTATTCCTAGTAGCTGGTATAGCGCTGTGTTTTGGATTTAGCATGAGAGTAATGTGATAACACATTGATGTTTTAGCTGTTGCTAAGCAGTGTTTATACTAAGTCAAGGACTTTTCAGCTTCCCATATTCTGCCAGTGAGGAGATGCAGAAGAAGCTGGGAGGGGGCGCGTCTAGGACAGCTGGCCCAGACTGGCCAAGGGGCTATTCCATACTGTGTGACATCATGCTCGGTATATAAACTGGGGGGAGTTGGCTGACGGGCAGTGACCGCTGCTCGGGGATGGGCTGGGTGTCAGTTGGCGGGTGGTGAGCAGTTGCATCACTTGTTTTTACTGGGCTTTGTTTTTCTATCATCATCATCGTCATCATCATCATTATTATTATTATTTCAATTATTAAACTGTTCTTATCTCAGCCCATAAGTGTTCTCACTTTTACTCTTCCAATTCTGCCCCCCATCCCACTGTGGGGGGGTGTGAGCGAGCAGCTGTATGGTGCTTAGTTGCCAACTGGGGTTAAACCACAACAGTCCTTTTCAGCACCCAATGTGGGGCTGGAATGGTTGAGATAAGAACAGATCTGACCAAAACGTGTTAAAACAAATGTGTGATAAGTATTCATTATATTAGTTTAATAGTCACTGGTCACGACGTTAATTCATTTGCTCTCAGAGTTGTTGGGCTTGCTGTCAGAGTTGTGTTAGGTAACACCTTACTTGCTGTGGTGCTGTTTTATCACCTCTTGGAGTTGGATTAAAGTTATCACTTTGCTGTACTGTGTAACGCTGGCTCATGGTATGATAAAATTATCGGTCACGAAATTGTACTCAGCGCTGCCGTCATCCCTGTACTTTGGGAGCATTTCTCAGAACTATTAATAATGACACTTTTTACCTCTTCTCGTCTGAGAGCCAATCTACGAGCTACCTTCCTTCACCTTCCCCTTCTCTTCCAGGCTGATTACAATAGCTCTTGAGAATTTTGAGTATCCTTAGGATGTTCAAACCAGCATGTTCCTATTTCTGTGTCTCCTGAATGCGTTTCAGGCTTTGTTTAAGGTTAAACAGCTATTTAAGACTACTACCCAGAGATCTGCTCCGCGGGTGGATGGTTATGAGTGGCAGGGTGTGTAGTGTAGTATAGGCAAGTACCTAGGACAGTGGGCACCTCCAGTGTTTTGGAACTTCACCCCTGAACAAGTGCAGAATCCTGAAAAACTAGGAAAATATTTGGAAAGAGTATGCTGCCATCCTGGCAATTCCAGAGAGACACAAATTACTGCAACATCCTGGGGCCCATGTCTACCGAGCCCTGTTCAACACTATTCAGTACCCTCAAGGGGAAGAGAAGGTGTCTGGATCTGAAGACAAAACCACAGGCGCTGCGGCTACTCCAACCCCTGCGACAGGCACTGCGGCTGAGCCAGAGAACCAACCCGTGCCGGTATCAGTTGCCCGTATACACAAGAAGAAACATTGGAAGCGCAAGTCAGCTCATTTAGTAAGGGAAGGAAAAGCTGCTTCTAAGAGGGAGTGGGAGGAAGAAGTGGATGAGGCAGACTACTCTGAAGCAGGGCCATCATGAGAACAAGAGGAGGAAGAGACGCAGCTGCTGCTTGGGGAGGAGGAAGAGGAAGAACGCATGAACGAGGCCATAACCACCCGATCCCTATCCCTGAGTGAGCTGTGAGATATAGGAAAAGATTTCAGCTGTCGTCCAGGAGAGCACATTGTCACCTGGCTGCTCTGATGCCGGGGTAATGGGGCCAGTAGCCTGGAATTAGCGGGTAGGGAAGCCAAGCAGCTGCGATCCCTTTCTAGGGAAGGGGGCATTGACAAAGCAATTGGAAAAGGGGCAAAAGTCCTCAACCTGTGGAGGAAAGGTATCCTTTCCTGTCAGCTGTGAAGGAAAGGTATCCCTTCAAGGAAGATGTTATATGTCACCCAGGCAAGTGGACACAGTTCCCCCAGTACCTGAGGGAACTAGTGATGCTGGAGGTGATTTATGATGACCTGGACAACAAGCAGCTATCCAAAGATCAGATGAATTCAATTGCACATGACCAGTGTGGTGGAAGTTTGCACGGAGTGCACCATCATTGTATGCCAACTCATTGGCAGTAATGACCTGGAAAGATGGAGAGGGACAAACGGTGGATGAATTGGCTGGCCAAATCCAGCAATACGAAGGAAGTCTCCCTTCCTCCCTTGTCTCGGCTGTGGAGAAACTGGTCCAGCAACTCAAAGAGGATAGATCCTGCTCCCCACGTGTATGGACCAGTATCTCAGCTATTAGGAGTAAGCATTCCTCTGCTCAAGAGGGAGGATATAGGGGATACACACCACAGGCCACCCTGTGGTTTTTATCTGGTCTGGAGTGGGATGTGCCCAGTGTGAGGGCTGGGCATGACCCAGCAATGTGTGCTTGCAGCCCAGAAAGACAACCGTACCCTGGGCTTCATCCAAAGCAGCGTGGCCAGCAGGTCGGGGGAGGGGATCCTGCCCCTCTGCTCTGCTCTGGTGAG